CCCCCATATAAATACTGGTTTCGGCATGACTGGCTTTAGCCTCGGAATTTTGACACCCTAAGCCTTAAACCCCAAACCTTAAGTTAATCCGGAAACCCTAAACTGAAAGCTTTGCGACGAAACTCCACACCTAATAGAGCCCCGAAACCTTAACAAAACTCGGTGGTGCCTGCAACTCGAGATCCCAAGCATCGCCAAAGGAAGGGTGGACCATTACCACCAAATCGTCGGCTACATGATCGACATCTCCATGTTTCGTTGAGCTGATCTTTCGTATCTTATTTATCTTTTGGCTGCTCTACTCACCGCAGCAAGGGGGTAAATACTTTGGGGTTACTAGATGTGCTGCTTCTTCTCTGTGGTGTGACGGTCTCGATTGGCTGCATAGAAAACATGCAGCTGTACGCAAGACTTGCTACGATTGAGCGGATGGACAAAAGAAGCTATGAGTCTCGCTTGCTCCGTGTGTGTGTGTGTTTGTTTCTGTATGCTCGCGCCAGAACATGCCACCGTCTGCGGGGTCAGTCGCTTCCTGCAGTAGAAAGCCACTTTGGTGCACGCACCCGCCGATGCTCCAGGTTTTGTGCTGAGACTTGGTCTCGTAGTCTCTCCTATATAGTAGGGAGCGACGGCGAGGGATCATGGGCCGTGGAAACAAGCAGAAGAAGAATCGGAAGACTAAGGACAAGAAGGACAATCGTCGCCGCAAAAAATCTTCTGATTCGTCGGATGATGATTCCGATTCGAACGATGCTGAGATGAAAGCTTCTGCTGCTGCTTTTGGCTTGACTCTTCGTTGCAATGATAGACTATATCCTTGCAGCAGCACGTCTTCTGTGCCTCGGTCCTGTCTGCCTCTCGCTCCATATCAGAACTTTGTCTCAGGAAGCCCAAGCAGTTGGCTTTGAAGCAGAGCATGTCCAAGCTTTCAGATTTGGGCCCAGCTCTCTTGGCGACCAGTGTTGCACGCTTGATGCCCATGTTGACGGAGAACTCTCTCATGAAACTTGGGGGTGATTTGTTGGAGGCCTGCCACATCTGTTGGATTGCACCCCTCGGACTGCATGTGTGTGCTTTGCATGCCCTAGGCCTCACTGGGTGAATGTCGAATATGTTTCGGGCCAGGTTCGCAAGCGGGCAAAGCAGAACGTGGCCTTGGACACCAGTCCGGAAGGCTTGCAGCTCAAGGTGACTTTGGCCCAGAACGAGTGCACAGCTGAGTCGGACTGGAAGAACAGACTGCTCGACTTGATCGAGCAAGGCAGGAAGTGACTCGTGCATTTGCGATGGTCGTGCTCATGTCTTGGTTTTAAGTTTTTTCCTTAGCTACTCTCACGGCAGCATCACTTGCAGTTGCTGGCCTCGATCGCTTGACTGTGGTTTCCCAGCACAAGACGATTTCTTCTTTGCGAAGGACAGGAAGCCGTGTCACCATGTTGTCCTCCGTGCTCCAAAAACAAATCTAGCAGACCTCGCAGGACCTTGCAGGCCGAGGTGGCGGCCAAGCAGGCCCAGTCCCATGACGAGGTGCTGGCCTGGGAGAAGGAAATCAAGGAGAAGCTCGCAGAGCTGCAGAAGTCGGCGGCCAAAGACGTGAAGAACGAGCAGCTTTGCTCCAAGGGCGGGGGCGGCCTCGTCCGGCGACAGTCTGCCAAAGAGATCGAGGACAAGGCTTCGGAAGACCTCAACAGTGAGACCCCCAAGAGGCCCAAGCGACCATCAAAGCTGATGGACTCTGCTACGACGAAGGCTCCTCGTCTGCAGTTTTATTGCCTTTGCAGTCCAGCGAGCTTAGTGTTGCTTCATTGCCATTGTGCAGACGGACACAAGTGGCAGCTGGCGAGATGGTTCGGGTCGGTGGCAGCTCACGGACGACTCGGACATCCTCAAGGATCGCTTCGCCAGCACCCGCAGCAAAGCGTTGCTGTCGGGTCGCAGCGCAGATGGCCCCATCTCGGCCCTGGCCGACTTCTTGCGCGAGGATCTGAAGAGGTACTTTGCCTCGGAAGAGGACCGGAAGCTCTTCTTGGATGCTTGCAGAATGGATGGCATTGTGCCTCGGTTTCCGATTCAACCTTGCTGGACTTCATTGCTCGGGTGCTCGCTTGCGGAGTTGAAGCTAGCTTGTTTCGTCCACCCGAGGCTTCCGTTAAGGAATTCCTGGAGGGAGTCCGCGATGGTTGGAATGCAGGCGCCATGGGCAGCAAGGCACTGGAGGTCACGAATACCATGTCATGGATGGGCCGTCAGTCGGTGAAACGCTTGCTTCGTGATGTGAGTTCCGACTTGGTTCCTTGTCCTGAAGGTAGGTCTCCACTGCGGGAAAGTCGAAGTTATTCTATCCGTCTCGTGTCATGAAAGCAATACCTTTGGATTTGTCCCTTGCCCTCCCTCCGAGGCTTCCTGGGTGGAGAGAGCCTCGAAGCAGTGTGCTCGCACTCTCTTCTCAGAGGAGGATGAAGAGCCCGGTTCGGCAGCGAAGTCTCGCAAGGCGGAGCCCCCATCGGCCGAGCCCGAGAAGGCTCCTGAGCTGCCTGAGCCTGCTTCTGCTTCTGGGAAGCAGGATGAGCATCTTTGGTCGCCAAGCTCCGAAGCTTGAGTCATCATCAGTACGATCTCTTGAGACAGGGCAAGGCTCTGACTTCTGCAGAGCACATTTTGAACCGTTTCTGGGAAGGTCGGTGCTACGAGCTTGCGCCGAGAGAAAGGGTTTAGGGGCCGTCTGCAATCTTGGATTTCTGGCTTCCGCTCTGAAAAGCACTTGAAGCATGAAGCATGTCGGACTAGCTTTGTCTCGCGAGGAACCTTTCCTTGTCTCAGGCTCTTTTCAGCCAAGCACCCAGGCATCACAGTCCACGCTTTTGTTGAGCCCAGGGGACGATGCTGGAAGGATAGTTAGGTCGCCATCTTACCCTCCTCATGCTCTTCCGGGATGCTGCCGCTGTGACCATTCCATGGCTGGATCGAAGGCGGTGGCGCCGCCGCTTAGGGCGGAAGATTGGCACTCCGTGGCTGGCAGATGATCCTGATCGCTTTTACATGATTCAGTGGGCTGCAATAGCAAACATAGGAGACGCTTGGCATCGCCACGAAGACTTGTGGCTTGTCATAGAAGAACGCAAAGGAGCGACAGTGCTGCTTGCAGATTATGAAGAGGGTGTGTATCGTGCCCTCCGCATCACAGTTGCGACTCCTGCTGTCAACCTGCAAGAGATGGACTAGAAAAGGGTGAAGGCCGGTATCTGTGTGTCTCTGTGCTCAGGGAGTTTCCTGCCATTGCAAGTGCAGCCGGTCTTGGGATTCTTCCAGCCGTTAGAAGGTCAAAGCATCGCTTGCAGATGCACCCTGCTCCGTGGATTCCCAACCGGCTCAGGCCTAGGATCGTTCTCGTGACATTCATCGTTCTCTGGGACCCTAAAAATGGGTTCTGGCCCGGAATCGTTCTCACGGTAGATATCGTTCTCGCGCAAAACATCGTTCTCTCCCTTCCGAACGACACAGAAGCAAAAAAGAGCAAAAAGTGCACCAGAACGATGTTGACCAGAATGGGGAAGATAGCGTCCTTTACTAGGTTTTGTTCATCATTTCTATTGGATCCTACTGGTGCCAAAAACAGAACTTTTCGGTTTTGGGGCCTCCGGGGCGGCCCGGGCCGCTGAGAATGGAAACGGCTCCAATTGCCGACTCAGAGGCGGGGCGGGCCGATAGCTCCTGAGTCTCAGTAGCACCGCTCCGCTCCCTCAGCTTCGGGAAGGCCCAGCAGTTCCTCTGCTCAGCTGCCCTTGCTCCCACATTTAGGGAAGCAGTCTCTCGCCCACGCCTCAGGCTTGGCTGCTCGAGATCAAGAAGCTTTTCAGCAAGTTGCCTCTGGACACTGATGAAGAGCGACCTGGAATCTCGGCTCTGCCAGTCAGGCAGGCCATTGCCAGGAGATGGACAGAAATTAGAGACAAGTGCAGGGGCGCGGCTGAGGAGCTGGAGAAGCTTCGCAGGAATCTTTGTGATCAGTTGCATCAGCTTGTCCAAGCTTATGGTGCCGAGACGCCATTCGCACCACAGCCAAGCTGGAATCCGAGTGCACGGGTCGAGCAGCCGCTGCCGATAGAAGCAGCAGTTGCCGAAGATGATAGGACGCCGGGCTGCCCGAACCACAGCTTCCGCTTTCTGAGCAACCACCAGGGTGTCTGGACTGTCGTGCAGGTGGTGGGGCAATTGGCAGCAGGGTCCTTCTGATCTGTGTCTTTGTTTCAAGCCCTCAGGTTGACGACAGGGATGCTGTCGATGGTTACAAGAACTTTTTGGCTGTGGCAGAGTTCTACCATCTCCGAACGCCCTTCACGCAATGGTTTACAAAAAACTATTGCAGCAACTACTTGCCTTTGGCTCATGCCTTCGACGTTTGCCCGGGTCATGTGCCAGCCTTAGTTTGTTTCGTGTCCTGCGGTTCGAAAACCCGAGTCCACATCAAGTCCGAAGCCTTTGCACACGTGCCTCTGGCAAGCTTCTGCAGGTTTGCCGGAAAAGCAGCTACAAGGGCTCTGTGCAAGGTCTCACGAACCTTCCTGTGGACGGCTGCGCTGTTCTAGGCATCTTGGTGATGCAGGCAACACTGCTGCCTACGCAGAGCTTCAACGCAGATAGCATTGTTGAGTGTGTCCGTGTGCTTCAATCGCTGGAGCAGCACATGCATGTGAACGGCCCTTTCCAGCTGCTGCCGAGTGGAGACATTTTCCGGATGGAGGTGCAGGAGAACCAGGTGCATGTCTCAAGGCTTCAATCGGTGCTCAAGGAGCTCGGCCTGAGTTGGTCCAAGCTCCTCGGCTTCTCGTGACTCTTCTTGGTGATAGGTGCAGGGGGTGTCATTCTTATGTGATCTCAGGTTTTCTCGCAAACTCACGGCACCCAATGTCTCTGAGACCATGCCGTTGAGTGTGCTGGTGACGACATGCCTCCGCATGCGAGCCGATACAAAGTTTTGGGATTGTCTGGGGTTCCGGAGAATGACGAAACGCATTTTGCACTTCTTCGCACAACAGGCCGAGGAGGCCATCGACAGCCACTGCACGGACGTTTGTCCGGATCCGACACTGCAGGCCAAGTACCATCCCTTTCTGCAGTCGAGCAGAAGACGCGGGAACAAATCCTTGAAGATGGCTCTGACAAGCAGGTTCATGGCTCGTGGTGCTGGGTACGTGTCACTAAAAAACGACCGGAACCTCGCCGACATGGGCATCGTGTCCGAGAGGTCTGTCTTCGCCACGAAGACCGGGGAGGAGTACGCGGCCAGGTTGCTCATGAAGGCCGAGTCCCAAGTTGCTGCCTGCATCAGCAAGCAGAAGCTTCCGACCATAAACTTCTGCATGGACGGAACGAGCTACGCCGGGGAACACGTGCCTTTGCTTCGTCAATATGGGGTTTAGGGTTTAGGTTTAGGGTTTAGGGGTCAGGGGTGAAACACTACTCCCGAGCAAGGGGTCCCCTAATAGCTGTTAGACCTATTCTGGGTGGGCTGAACTGTCGAAAGCAACGCAAACGTGTGTCACCTGCAATGGGGCCCTAGATAGAAGCCGAAGCAAACCCCCTCTGTCGGGCCGAAAGAGGGGGTTTGCTTTGGACGTGACTGATCACGAATCGGACACTTTATAGACCAAGCGCTGTTCTGGGGATACGTGCACGTAGACCCTGAACAGGTGCTCTCAGTTGTCCTCCGTCTTGGTGGTTACCACTTTGCCGGCCCCACTCAGATGGTGAATGTGAGTGCCTGTGGCAAGACAGAAGCCGAGCAGGCGGTCGAGACGCTGGGACAGGTTCTTGATGGGGAGAGGCCTGCTGACGCAACGTCCTCCGTGGGCATGCCCAAGGATGCCGTCAAGTTCCGAGAGTATCGCACGCCAACCAAGAACTTGCTTTGTGCCCTAGCCAACAGCCTGCAGCACGTTATGCCGCAAGGGTGGACTTTGCTCAAGTGCCGCCCGCCCAATCCTCTGAAGCCTGCCACAGCAGGCTGCAGTCGCATATCCTACGATCAGTCGGAGATGGACGTCATGGTGCCCCCACCTCCAGCTGGCTCAAACCTGCACTTCATCTGGGATAGTGAGAGATTGGAAGCTCGTGCTGACCACTACGAGCACGAGGATTTCACGCGCCTGGTCTTTGCGGCCGACGAAGGAACAGAGGCTGGTAGGGTAGGCCGTTTCCACTAGATGTTTTTTTTGGAATTTGTCCTTCCTTGAACCTGTTGACAAGGGCCATGTGGCATGGCAGCACTGCTGCAGCCAATCTCTGTGGATGTTGATGTGGCCTGACATTTTTCACAAGTGTGCTCGCAAAGCCGCTGCCGCGATTCGTGCTCTCGACGAGGGACAGCCGTTCTTGAAACGGCTCATGGCCTTGTTCCGATTTTCCCGGGGGCCGTACAAGTCGTCCAGGCTTGGCCGCACCATTGCGGATGCACGAGACAATCTGATTCACATCCTGCAGAAGAACCCTGAGAACGACTTTGTGCAGATGTGGTTGGCCGGGGTGGCCAAGGACCTCGCCGGCTGGGAGAACGCCGAAAATGTCGGTGAGTGCACGCCCTTTCAGCTGCTCCAAGAGCTCCGTCGCCGCAAAGGCCTCTTCGCAAAACCTGTCTGCGAGTTATTCACGCCTAACCTCGGTTTGCAGTTTCATTGCTCAGAAGACACAAACGGTCAGTCTGTCTGTTTCACCTTCGGCCCTAAACCCTAGACCCTAAACCGTAAACCCTAAACCCTAAACCGCCCCGCCCTAGCCTTCTTGTTCAGGCTCCCTGCACTTGAAGCCCGAGACGGCGAAAGATGTGAGATGGTTTTCATTCTATGATCATGCCGTGGCCTTGGACAAGGTGTATCACACCGAGAGCATGAGCCATGCCTTTGCCCTCTTCACGGAAGGCAAGAATCCATGGGCCTTGAAGGGACAGGGCGATGCAAACGAGGATTCCTTTTCGGCGAGGGCTTCTGCGTGGCATGTCTGAGCCCCACTTTCTTGATCGCCGTCGCAAGTCCAAACTTTTTTCGAAGCTGTAAGAATCTGCCGCGCTTGGCTTGAACCTGACTGAAACGTCCCAATATCTTTAGATCAGGTGCTGGCAGACGACACCAACCAGGACAAGATGCGAGCTTTCATTGTCGTCTTCAAAGCCCTCCGCATGTTTGTGGCCGAGTGTGCAGCATTGGGTTGCAATGGAGGTGACTGTCCGTCCGTCAAGCAGTGTGGGTTGCAGACACTGCTTGGGGAATCCCATGTGTAGCCAAGGCAAAGGATTGCCAGAACAACGGTGCCGCATCCCTTCGTCATGCAGTTGCCTTGGCCAGTGGGCGACGGGTGCAAAAGCTGATCACGTGGCCAGGTTGTAGTATTGTAGTCCTAGTTGAATTAGGATGGCTGCAGTCGTCTACTTGCAACATTGCTTCTTGCCGTCAGACATCCAGAAAGTACCGTGTGATGTTGTGTCTCGAGTTGAGGAAGACGTTCCAGAATGCGGCCAAAGGGAGTGGCCTGGTGTACTGTGGTGCGACGAGCGACCCCGAATCTTTGCAATGGCTGTCTTCGCTCTTTCTCTTCACTTTGGAAGCCCTGCTTCACCTGGATGCCACGCATCGCAGCTTCCCTTGGAGGGTGGTGACATGCTTGAACGAGCAGTTGAAGGAAGAGACTTTGTCCTTGATGGCTGAAGAGTGGGCACTGGTCACCGATGTCATCGACCGGCTGCCCGAGCGCCATGAGCTGTACAAGAAGATGGGGTGGAACCAGGTATCAGTGCTACCGCGACTGCATGGTGAAAGCAGAGTTGCTTGTCTGATTTTGTCGCACAGTCGCCACTTACCCAGTCCAGGGTAACTGGCCCCCTCTTCTGGCCCAAACCCCCTGTTTTGGGCTGGAAACCCAGACTTGGGCCACTTCCGCCGGGTTTCCAGTTCCCCCTTTCTTTTTGGGACTGTGGCTTTGAGACAGAAGCTTAGGTATTTTGATGTTTTCTGAGGTCCATGGGATTCAAAGCTGAAGGCATGTCGCAGGAGAAGGGCGCCCTTTTCCGTGAAGTTTGCAGATCGGTGGCCGGGCTCACAGGCCCGGCAGCAGAGAGTGCAGACTCCCTGCTCGTCTCTCTTCCCTCCGAATTCTTGTTTAACGACCTCCGAGACGCCGGCCGACGTCACAGCAAGGCCGAGAAGACTCTCCCTCACAATCTGCACTGCGTAGCCCACAAGTCTGCCACAGTGCGATGTGCCGGTGGCAGAAGCCTGGAGATCAGTTCCGATGACTGGAGTGCTGGGCTGAAGTCCAAGCACGTGAAGAGCAGTGTCTTCACGTGCAGAGCGACGGACAAGGAGCTGGGTGTCTCCGCCGAAGGCCTCACAAAGCACAAATGCTCCACGTACACCAAGCCGCATATCATGTGTCAAAGGCAAGAGCTGATGCGACTCCTCTGCAACGCCTACAGCAAGGAGATCCGCTATGAGCTCGCGAACCAAGAGGACAGGAAGGACATTCTGCTGAACGTCTACAGCTCCCTGTGGATGTCCAAGCTGGTGCCTGAGCATGTCTTCGTGTCCTGGAAGGCTGGCGAAGAGGAGAGCTCCAGGGACCTAGTTCTGGGGTCGGGGCCCTGGGCTTTGAGGATTTTGCCACTCGTGAAGTACGGCCCGAACCAGTACACTTTCGAGAAAATGGAGGTGCCAAGGTCTGAGGTGCCTGTTGGTGGCATTCACGACATTGTGATCAGCTTTGCAGAACCGATCATTTGTCATGATCAGTTGGGATGGTCACAGACATCAGACTGGATGGGGCTGCCGGCATATGTTGCCGACCACTCACTGCTGAGCCTTCCTCGCAGCCTGGTCAACCAGTTGTGCAGTGCCCTAGGCTTGAAGTCTTGAAGCACACGAGGTTGGATTTTGAATCCAGGGTCAAGTTGTTCTTGGAGCACATGAAGAAGAGCCCAGAGTTCATAAACGACATCCTCGAGGAGATTCCCGATGCCGCAAGCAAGAGCAAGCCTAAGAGTGCTGACGAAACTAGGTTGCTGTTGGAGTGGTTTCTTTTCGGAGTCGAACCTCTCTCTTGGGTCTGGCCCCATCCTTCCTAGACGCCCTGATCCGCTCCCTCTGTTTGGCGGTAACCAAGGATGAAGAAGGTGACCCCCGCGAGGACTACTTGGAAGGCCAGACCGAGGACGAGCAAGAGGAAGAGGTCATGGATGATATGGCTCAAGTCTCAAGACCCCGAAGACGATGACATCGACAGCAAGGACAACGACCAGGGCGCTGAGTCCAAGCCCAACGATCTGGAGCGAGCTCAGGGCGCTGAGGCGGCGGAGCCCCGGGATGACGCTGACATGGGCAACACAGAAGGAAAGAGCAGCCGCTGTGTCGGCAAGGAATATTTGCTGATTTGTCTTTCAGTTTTGTATTTTCCGATTGAGTATATTTGCAGGTTCACTTCGGAGTCACCTCCCTGGGGGTTCGACAGGTAGCCAATATAACAGTTACAACAATAATATTCATAACCTCCGCCGAAATCGCAACTTAGGCACGATCAGATGGGCCTCATGCTTCCCCGCAGTGTCGCGAGAAAATCGGTTCAGAGCTGCCGGCGGGATGCAGGATTTATGTTGGACATCCGAAGACTGCCAACCCGTTCATCCAGCTCTACTTGCCTGCGGGGTTCCGCTGCGGAAGGAAAAAGAGTCGTGCTGTGAGCTTCAACCCAGAGGGCAGCGGAAGGAGCCATGATCAGGCTTTGGCTTGTGTGACAAGCTGGGCTTGGCAGTGGTGGAATGGTCTGCCTGAGGCAGATCAGTGCAGGCTGCTGGAGGCGGCAGGTGACGAGCCGGCTGCGAAGCGGCAGCGAACGTGACAAGCAAAACTACAGGGCTCCTAGCTCCAGCATCAAAGATAAACTAATGCGGTAATCCAATGTGCTGCTTCGCAGAGGTCTGTGCAAACATGAACTCCAGATCCCAACTTTCGCCGATAGCTGCGAAAAAGCAATGCGGGCACAGTGAAGAGTGTCTGTGTGTTCTGCAACTTCAGGCATTCCTCCTTTGTGGATAGTAAGAAAACCCACACCAGACCGAAGTGCTTCACAGAATGGGGAAGGTAGGCTTCGAGATGAGGGGCATGGGCTTATTATTTCCTTATTTCCTACTTTATTTCTCTATTGATAGTACTATTAGTGTGTCAGAGAAGGCTAACACAGCCGAGACTGAGAGAAACACAGAAATCGAAGGCGAACAGGTGCGAAAACAAGTCTCTGCTCATGATGCTTCTCTTGCCCATCTAGCGCGATGTGCAACTCCATGTCTCCAACCGCGTGGGTTTGTCACATCACTCCTTATATATGGCTCAAATACAACTAGCTTGCCTCCGCGTCCTCGCTTGCCTTTCATCCTTCCTTTGCCGACTCCTTTCGTACAATGGCTGCTGCTGACGCCGCTGACATCACCCTAGATGGTTTGAAAGGTGCAGTACTTCCATTGGTATGCCGGTCTTTGTCACAGCCTGTGAGCTTGAACTTGCCCAT